TCAATACATTCGGAACAAGCGGAAGATGATTGATGGATGGATGGATGATACATGCAGGAGTGTATCATTACATTCGGAACAAGTGGATAGGGATGCACCGATCCACTTTTTTCACTTCCGATCCGATGCCGATACCGGATGTTAATTATCGGCCAATACAGATCTGATACCAATCTGATACAGAAAGTGCTGAATTAACAAAAATGGCTAAATCATGTCATCTGGACTCATTTCTGAAACAGGTTAAGATGATATGATTTAGCCATTTTTGTTGTCTACCTGAATGATTGAGCTTACAAACCCAGTGCTGAATTAACTTAAAACATTTGTTTTTTTAAACGCAGACATGAATGTACAGAATTACAAATTTATTGAAAGCTCTGCACCATAACAGCACACTTAAACACACCAAGAGCTTCACAAGCTTGGTCAAACATGTAAAAACAACACAACTTTCATTTGTTCAGTCAGTACCCTAGCACGTGACATCACTCAGAGCACAAAGCATAGAATTAGAGTGAATAGATCTGCCCAGTTATGGATCGGTTACATTGTCACCGATGCCCAATCCAGATGTTTTTCAATGCCGCTACCGATACCTATATTGGTATCAGATCGGTGCATCTCTAGAAGATAATGAATGAATGGATGGATGGATGGATGGATGGATGGATGGATGGATGGATACATGATACATTCAAGAATACATCAATACATATGGAACAATTGGAAGAGAAGGTATGGATGGAGGTATGGATGGATGGGTGGTTGTATGGATGGATGATGGATGGATGGTACACTCAGCACAGAATGATTGAGTCTTGAGCTCCTCATCTCTTCATCAGTTTGTCTGTGCTGCTTCAGAGCTGCAGAAAAATGGTGATTGGACTCTCTGACATGGTCTTCATCCAACACCTCATTAACTCCCCTCTCGTTTCTTCTCTCTCTTCTCTTCTTTCATCTTCTCTCCCCTTCTTTCTGCACTTTAAAGCCATAGAGATGAAGCTAATGCAATAACCATGTACCACTGTCCAGCTCTTCACATGATTGATTGCTTTCACAGACACACACACACACAGAGGCTGTAACTCATCGTACATTTTAATGTTGTTTTAATAGATGGGTTTGTATTTTAACTGCTGCTGAGATGAGTCCAACAGTCATGTATTTTCTGCAAATTTACATCCTCTCTGAGCCCTTACGGTGACATGTGATTTAGTGGAACAACACTTTGGGCTGAAATCGAGTCCAAGGAGAACGTCCGTGTTAGCATGTCCTGTCTGTTAAAGCAGCCTATGAGACAATGTTTTATTGTGGCATCATGGGAAATGAGGGTATGCACTGTGATTTAGTTTTCCTTCACTCTGTCCATGACATTTTTCACTAACATTGACATTTTTTTTGTTGTTGTTTTTGAAAAAGATATAGCATGTGTTGCAGTGAGTAGAAGTATTGGCCATTTTATTGCTGTAGTAACAACCAGTGTGGTTGTTACAGGCACCAGTAGCTCAGACTGGACCGTGGGGTTTTAATAAGTGAATTTGTGTGTGGTCATTTGGACAAAATGATTGATATGATTATGTATGTGTATAATGTTGCGATTTTCAGAGTTTATTTTTTAAGAATTTACCATTTTATGATTAATATTATTGAGAAGTACAGATTTTATTAGCCATTCACCTGTTTTTTTTTTAAACACATGACTTAACACACACAAGAACTTTAAAAATTGCCATAAACCGTCGTGACTCACACACGAGGCAAATTTAATGCTGTGAACCTGATGCTTCTTAGGATTTGTGTGGATTAAGCATGATCAGGTGAAAATCAGTACTCCGGTGATAATCCCTGTCAAACCCCACTTGTTTTGTCTCCATGGCAACAGTAAAACGATAAATTAAACTTTGAACCTTAAGTTTAACTTTGCAACAACAAATTAACCAACAAATACATCATCTGCACTATTGTTATCCCCTTCAGAGTCTATTCAAATATGTTTTGTGATACATTTTTGGAGCTGCAATTTATATTTTATTTATCCTTATTAATATTTATTAAATTTACAGCAAAAAAAGAGCCAATCTAAAAGTTAACACTACCAGTAGATGCGTTTATTGGCGACATAGTCGTTAGTTTAGATGCATTTTAAGAATACATTTCCAACGAATGGATCTTCTCGTCCTATTTTTCTTCTTGTTTTTAACTAGATTCCAATAACGATGCCCGTTTAACACCAAAACCAATTGAATGTGTGATAAAAACATAAATTTTTTTTAATTAAAACATGAAATTTAAGTCTGCAGAACTGGTGCTTATCTGGTACTTGACTAGTTCAAAGCAATAATAAAACAATGAAAATTATCAGAGGACTGAGGGCAGCTAATTAATTTCTTTATTATATTTTCAATCCGTTTTATTCCAAGTATGTAAGGAATCATTGCCTAAAAGTTAAAAAAGCAATGAGTTTTGAAAAAATCTGCTTTTAATTAAAAAAAAAAAAAATCTTCAACAACACCCCTCCTTAGAGCCAAATAGTCTTCCTACTCCAAAGATTTACACTGTAAAGGAGTTATCGTTAAAATAAGTCCATTACTGGCCACAATTATCCAGTATACGTTTTCCTTTCACAATAAACTTACTGTAAAAGTGAAATAAAATATTACTCTTTAATTATGAAAAGTCTGTCATTTCAAGATTGCTGTTTTTTATGGCGGTCAAGTCTTACTGTGTATTGATTTGCAGAAGCTTAACATTTTCCCATAATGCATTGTAAATTTACAGTACTGTTAGCGTAACAGCGTGCACGGTGCAGAACAGCTGTAATGTCACAGAAAACAAAACTACAGTAACTTGTGCTTTAACAGTTGTGTCCTCCGCAGCAAACCTGCAGCATATCCTGTTGGTCCTTGGGGTGACTT